ATTTTATTAAAACTAATTTTGGATGATTCTTTGCCGTTTGCTTATTGAATCACTCACTCACCTACTGCCTTTCCCAGCTTTTAGTTCTGCGGAATGCTTTATATCCTAACCAGTTGATTTTTTTTCAAAAAAAACAAGAGGAAAAAAAGCTTTTTTTTTCGAAAGTTTTCTTTTTCTACAATAATTTTATTTTACTGCTATTACTGTCCACTGATTGATTGTGCTTTTCGTTTAGAGATCACTGAACAGTATTCAATAAACTATAGTTGTTGAAAAATTACCCAAAACAACGACAGCAAAAAACTGATCAGATAAGAGTAGGTGTACGAGAAAAAAGAAGTAAATACGAAGAAAAAAATAAGAAAGAAAAAAAATTCTTAAAATATTACCTGAATTGTGGCTAATACTTTTTGATAGGATACCGCTCGTTCAAGACTACGGGCACGTTTATTTACTTCCACCAGAACATCCAAATTTGCATTCCGATACAGAAGATTTGAGTTGTTTTGAAATGTCGCTTCGGGACATTCAATTTGATATGGACGATATAAACGATATGGTGACCTAACAAAATGAAACAAAAGAAAAAGTTGAAAAACAAAATAAACCAATTCCAAACTTATTATACACTTTCTTTTTATTCTGTTGTTGTCGTTGTTGCTTTTTTTTTTGACGGAATAACAAAATTACCGTTTAAAATGCTATTTTGCTTTATTATAGCTAAAAAAAGCGGAAAAAAATGATTATCAATTAAGAATTGGTCAGCAAATAAATTAAATTTTTTTTCATCATTTTCTTTCTGCTTTTTGTTAGCGTTGCATACATAATAAATTTATATAACGAGGCAACAACGGCAAAAAGAAACGCAACAAAATTTGATGAAGTGAGAGAAAGGGAGAATAAAATAAGTTGACAAAATATTTTTGTTTCTGCACAAATTGGAATTATTGATAAAAATTTTGAGCTGACAAAGTTGTATAAATTATAATGATTAGTTTGGCAACCAAAAAAAAAAGACAAAAAAAAAAATGATATTATTTGAAGCAATTAATTTTACAATAACCTAATTCACTAACAACCCACAAAGTGTTGTCTTGCCTTTCCCCTTTTTTTACGCTTATTGCTTGTTAACTTTCTTTGCAATGTTGAGTTTGAACTTGTTAATCAGAAGAGGAAAAAAAGGAGCGGAAGATCGATGTCGTCAGGTTGCTGTAATTCTTTTCTACCTTATTTTTCATCAATTTATTTATGTATCCGCAAGGTTTCTTACTAAAGTACGACAAAGCTTTCCTCCCCCATTCCATTTCCGCCCGCACAGTCGATCTTTTTTCTACTGTCACTTTAGGCGCTTTTAAGGCTATATATTCACAGATCGGTTCACAAATAGTTACAAAAGTATAGACAACATTTAGCTGTAAATTTTTTTGCACTGTTCAAAGATTTATCAAAAAATGGTTTTTTTTCTGACATATTTTTTTGGCGACACAGTGGCGTCGCTTTTTATTATAACCAAATATAGCTGATTAATGACAAGTTGATTAATTAATCCACAAAGAAAGGCAGTGATTCTTATCAGCCAAACTGGTGAACACCTGTAACCACTGTTTTCTCTTTCAACTGTACTTTTCAGTAGAATATGCTGCGGAAAAAGTTTATCTTTAAAATTTATAACAATTTTAAGCATCTTTTTTGCGTTGCTCTTTTTTCTTCTCTTCTTTTTTTTTTTTTTTTTTTTT